TTGAGTTCTGTTTGTTTTATTCTAAATTCTATTTATGTTTAAAACTCTCTCCTCCTCTCTCTCCCCCTCCCCGTCCTCTCCCTCTCTCTGTCTCCGTGGACAGCGTACACTTAGCCCGGCGGGTGCTCCAGCTGGAAAAGACGAACACTTCGTTACGTCAGGAGTTACAGGAACACAAGAGTAAAGCTGACCAGCTGGTCAAAGAGGTCAGTGTTGGGGTGTGTGTGTGTGTGTGTGTGTGTGTGTGAGTGTGTGTGTGTGTGTGTGTGTGTGTGTGTGTGTGTGTGTGTGTGTGTGTGTATATGTATCTATTATTATTATTATATATTATAATAATAATAATAATAATTATTATTATCTCTGTCCTCCCTCCTTAGGTTGAGAACACCAACAACCTTCTAGATCAGTCCCAACAGCCCTACGGCTACCTCATCAATTCGATCCGCGTCCGTGACGGTCAGCTACAGCAGCAGGCTGGACACATCCAGGTGTTGGAGGATGACCTCAGGTCAGTGACCGGACTAACTTTACTTTACTTTTATCCGTCGCTTATACCCTTTTGGGTGTCGAGGGAAGAAAGAGACGTCTATCTGCCGGACTAACAGCTCGTGAAAATGCACAAAGGAAAATCCCTGATGCAGTTTCAGTCACTTTGCACTTTAACACTTAGCGGGTCACTTGTCGCAATAATGCGCCTGTGAAAATTATCCGTTTCGGGCACCTGGTGCAGTTCTGCTCCAGGCCCGAGAAGTCCGTTACAGTCACTCCCCTGTCTGGGTGACCAGATGGGGGGTGTTTTGTACTGCTGGCTGTGTGACTGCAAAGTGTTAAGCTGTCTTCTAACTCCCTGCCAGCTGAGTTTGGCACCCCTGGTTTAACTTTAACTTAAGGCCTCCTGAGAAAATAAAGTTATGGAAACAAAAAATGTGACTTAAGGTCAAAATCCTGGGTATCAAGTCGCGAAAAGATGTGAAAAGGAAAAAAAAAGTAAGAAATATTAGCGTTTTGTGGTTATTTGTATAGGTTTTTGGGTTGTTTTTTTCTTATTTCCATTTCATTTATAATATGGGACCTAAGTGTCGGTGTAGGTCAAAGTCCAGTGTGTTAAATCTTGAACAGATGTGAAAGGGAAAAAATGATTATTTATATAGGGGTGGGGTTTTTTTTTTTGGTCTTATTATTATTGTCATTCAATTTTGACAGATATTTTTTAAAATCTCTATCAGTGTATCTGATGGATTTTTTTATTTTAGGATTTTTATTTTGTGGAAAAAAGCAGTTGGTTCAATTCCAGTTTGGGGAAATCTATTTTTATAAAGTATCTGCATCTTTCTTTCTTTTTTTTTCCCGTCCTAATTAAGTTCATATGGGTGATGATAATTGCTGATTGAAAAGAAAGGGTTAATCTTCTGTTTCGCTTTTTGTAACATTTGATTTGATCTTTGTATTCTTTATTTTTCCCTTGAGCTTGTCATAATTTGATCTTTGTATTCTTTATTTTTCCCTTGAGCTTGTCATATTTTATTAATTTTTTAAACTCTTGGTGTCTGTGGTGTAGCTGATAGGGCTTTGCTGCCACACACAGGATGCCTGAGTTCGATTCCCAAGGGTGGAGAAATTTTTATTGAGTATTTCGGTTTTTTGCTGTTATGTGTTGTATCCCTCTCAGCCTGGGTTGGATTTGCCAGGATGAACAGGGTTGCGAGCCTGCCTCCTAAATTATATAAATTGCGTTGATGGGGGCTTAAACACACCTTCGTTGAAAAAAATTTAATTAAGATTTGAGTCACTGATAAAAGGCAAATGGTTGAGAAATGTCCGCTGGGTAATATGTTGACGCTCTTTTAATCTTCTATTTTGCTATTTGTGATGTTTGATTTGTTTGTTGTTTTTTTCAATGTGTTGATTTTCTTCACTTGAGTTTTTTAATGTTGTGTTTCATTGATTGACTCGACGAGTTTGTGTTGTCTCAGCTAGGGGCTTTGCTGCCATATGCAGGAGACCTGAGTTTGATTCCTGATTGGGGGGGGGGGGGGGGGGAAGAGAAATTTTTACAGAGTCTGGGATGTTGTATCCCCTCTCAGCCTGGGTTAACCCTGACGGGCAAAATCGGAAGCCCGCCTCTTAAATAATTTAAATTGTGTCTGTGAGGGGATAAAATCATGAACATAAAAAAGTACGGTTATTTAATTTTGTTTGACATGTGGGGTTTGTGTGCTGTGTCCATCAGGAAAGTGTCGCAAGAGAGAGAGGAGCTGGCTCGCACCCACAATCAGATGAGTCTGGACCTGGAGAGACTGCTCAACCAGAAAGAGGTCAGTTGTTGCACTGTGTCAGTCAGTTGTTGCACTGTGTCGGTCAGTTGTTGCACTGTGTCGGTCAGTTGTTGCACTGTGTCGGTCAGTTGTTGCACTGTGTCAGTCAGTTGTTGCACTGTGTCAGTCAGTTGTTGCACTGTGTCAGTCAGTTGTTGCACTGTGTCAG